ATTTCTGTGATGATTTAATTTGCTTGAAATGACTCGTTACCAATCAGTCTTGTTATTTTCTCCTGATCTGATATGAATCTATGAGTATGATGTATAGTGTGAATATTCTTCCTTAATGTAATCTATAAAATAGTTCCGTGATAACAGACATAATATTGACGTTGGGTATTTTAGATAATATGGCAGTGCGATATATTCCTGAAAATGATGCTGCATCTTGTTGGCGTTAAACCATCATTCAACGCTTGGTCCAGTTGCGCATTGATGATAATCTCACGGCGGATTTTGAAGGTTGATCAGACACGATGGTGGACCGATGGTGATAGATACAAGATATATTGTCAATCGCAGCATATCCCATGGCAGCATCAGTATCAATGCAACGACAATCATCCAGTAAACAAATATGACACCGTGGCGCCATGATGCGCCAGGTTTGTAGTTTCAACCTTATTATTCATTTATTTTTCTTTTCATTAGGAACGAATGAATGATCCGAGGTTAAGCAACCCTTCATTTTTCATTATTTATTTTCACTTCTATTTGAACTTAGGAACAGGGAATAAAATTAAGTCGTGGTCAGTGACCACTTTTCTGCATGTCTTATTCTTTTATTCTTTACTCGTTTATTAATATTGTTAATTATGTTCGTATTTGCTTATAATTACTGTAATTCGAACTTTGTTTGTAATCGACTGAGAATACATGACAATACAGTGATGGATATTGTGATACATTGTTCAGTGATGTAAAACTTATTATTGTCGATCACAATACGTTGTAAATTTCTGAAGATGCTTATAATGCCTTGTATGTTTTAACTGGGGGGATTTTTTAGTGTCTTTTAAGTCGGTTATTGATTTTATTCGCGATATATTGTCATAGTTATTTTATGTTATTGTTGTTGTTATTATTGTCACTGTATTGTCGTATGCTGGGAAGTTTAGCGGGTAGTAAATTAGCATTATCAACCATTTTTCGAAGGTATTCAAAAATTCTGTTACCTCTCGGGGTGGGATCGGAACGCAATCGTGCTCCTCTAATACATATCTTTTAATAACATTCTAATGAAAATTCTCTAAACGTTCCATTCAATGAGAAAATGTCAGGAACAATTGAATATCAAAGCAAAAATGTGGTGAATTCTGAATCAAATTACGGCCTATAGAATTTTATTTTCCACTTATTCTATAATATTGTGAGTTAATTGATTGTTATACATATCATTATGTTAATTGTCACCAATTGTCATAAATGTTTTCATTATTTATTTATTCATTCATTCGTTTTGTATATCAATCGTTGTTTTCAGTGTTGTAAATCTTTTTGTGAGGGATGTGGTTAGGGCGAAGGAGGGATGCGGCACGTAATGACCCGCTTAACTCC